ATCGCAAACAAAGTAGATAGATCTGCCTGTGGCTCCTTCCGCTAATAGATCAGCATGCGGTATGGACATGACATCCCAGATGGTAACGACATTAACCTTCTGAAGATCCTGAATCCAACGGAACTTCCCATTAGGTTTCCATAGGAAGAACCATCTATTTGCGTAAGCGCTATCAGGCGGCTCTGCCACATACGACGCCATCTTCTCTTTTAGAAAGACAATTACTTCTTCCTTCTCCTTCTTAGCAAACTTCCACCCTGCGTCATTCCATGGAGTGTACGGAATCGTGTAGATTCTGGCAGGTTTGGCGTACCTAGGATCGATTCTTCTTTTTTCCACATTGCTAAAGGAATGGTCTTGTCACAAGTCTTAAGAACCTCCAATACGCACCTCTTTTCCTGTTCTGTCAAGTTCCCGTCTCTTATATTCATCTCGGCTATCCTCTCTTTTGTCAGTCGTTGCGGCTCTCTCTTCTTCCTTTCTTTGATCTCTCTGGCAATCTCTTCTTCTGGTACCCCGTCTAGCGCTGATCGCTCTCGAGCTACCATCGCCGGCTTCACTTTTTGAGCTATTGTCTTGTGCCTCTTTGGTCGCCCCCCGTAGGGGGCTGCGCCCTTAAAAAAGACACAGAGATTATACCCCCGAACTCCTTATCTTCCGTCTTCGGATAGGAGTATCCACCCACGAGGACGGTATTGCCTAAGTCTTTGACTTCCACTATGCGTCCTTCTTCCTCCATGAGAGATGTCTCATACTTTGTCTCACGGAATCGTAGCGAGCGACTCACGAGAGTGGCTGGCTTGCGTGTGCCAGCAGCCGCCAAGACCGCACTGCTCCTTGGATCACGAGGCTCGATTGTCTCTATCATAACCCGGCCACCATCTGAACATTTAATTGAAAGCATCTGACTTCTGTCCCATCGCTCTATCGTTACCGCATGAACGTGGCTCAGCCACGTGCGTCCTAGTAGTAGCTCTGAACTGCAGTCCCTGACCGTGAAGATAGGCATCAGTACGCGCAATCCTTCGAACTCGATGACCGCTTTGTGGTAGACCCCGAAGATCTTCTGCTTTCTTCCATCGGCTGTTTCTATCTCAAACAGGTAGAACCTGTCCAGGTTCAATCCTAATCGTCCAACGAGTTCCTCGTCTATGATGACAACTTCACTGCCATTGTCAATCACTCCTTAGAGAACTATCTCACCATTGAGAATGGTCTCAACTGTCCCACTCCCTAGAATGTAAAACTTATCAAGTGGTACTCCCTCCATTCCGTCCAAATAGACTGTAGCCCCGCGTTCGGCCTTTGCGCTTACTCCCGATACTGCGACTGTGGGTACCTCTGGCTTGGAAGCCATCTGGACTTCGTCGCCTAGAGGAATACGCGTCTTACTCGTGACGATCTGAATCTTATCTCGCGCTGGTCTCGAAGCAGCCAAGTACTCGAGTATCGAGCACTGCATAGGTTGCCTAAAAACGCGCCTAAGAGGCTTCACTGTATCAATATCGTATTAGGAACTTTTCATGGTAAACTTCTAAGCTCCGCGTTTGCACGGCAAAAGTATAACTTCCTCTCCTTCAATCCTTTGTCCGTCCTTTTCTGCCATCACATAGTCTGTGTCAGCCTTCTTCGACGATGAAGCCCTTGCAAACTTCGTCGCCTCGACTCGGATAGGCGTGGTTGGCATCTCATCTTTAGAGGGCAGCGTTATCCTGACACTCTAGCTCTTCGTCGCCTCCTTCCCTTTGCTCGGCCGCACCCGCCTGGCTTCAACGTTCCCCTTCATCGAAGGGAACATCGATACGTCACCTAAATCGTTTGCCCACTTGACGTACTTGCGTTCGTCAAGCACGACAAGCCCCTCATCGATAGTTGTCCTGAGGTCCGGAGAATCCCTCTTGACATGATCTTCCCCGCTGCAATAGATGCAGGAATTCCTAGGAGTGGGCGGTCGGTCCTCTACACCCTTAGGACCCGGTCCTCTCGTTAGTCTGATGTTTTGGTTGGAAGACCCAGGAGATTTGGGATAGTTTGGAAACTTCGGGTATCCAGGCGAAGCAGGATAGCCTCCTCGGTCATACTGTCCGCGAGAACCGTCTCCACGACCTCCTCCTCGCTCTGCCCTCTCATAGCCGCCACGATATCCATCCCTACGGTCCCTGTCCGTTTCCCATCGGCCACGGGAGTCATCTCTATCTCTCCGGTTGAAGTTGTCCGGGCTCCGGTATCCTTCCACGTTCTCATCATATCTGGGACTGCGGGGATACTGTTTTTGTCATCCCCCTCTGCTAAAGGTGTCTGGCCCACGGTACCTGTCCCCTCAGCGATCCCTATCAATCTACTCATCCATACGTTGCCAGGCGTCTTCATCTCCCTCTCGCGTGCAATAGTCGGCGAGTGTGCGAGGGTTTCTATTCTCCATACTCCGCCAAGGGTCAATGTTTCTACGATCCCATCACAATGAATATGGGGATCCTGGCTTGTCTCTGTAAGTCGTGGCTCCCGTCTTGGTTTCAATATTGGTCATTTGCCTGACTAGTCACTTTATCATTTCTCTCATCTCCCTCATCGCATCTATCACTGCCTCTTTGTCCCTGGGTCGCTGTGGTGGGACTCCGTCCAGCAAATACCGGCATTCTGCCTAAGGCTGGTCGTTAAAATCGAGACTCCTCTCCGCAACGTACTCGCGATAGAGAGTGAAGTCCCGACGTTGCATCCCTCTCCAGACTAGGTCCTTGTAATCGTCTGCCTCAGCCTTCATTGCCAACTTGAGAACCGCCGCAAAATCTTATCTTGTCGTGAGATATCTCTCTCAATACTCCCTTCTGCTTCCCTCTTGGTAATCGACCGATGAAGATCGTGCACCGCTCGACCTCCGATAGCTTCCTTTTGCAATCAGGGCATCGGATATCTTCTGGAAGCGTCTCTCAAATGCTTAGACGCTCTCGTCCTCACCTTGGGTCATCACCTCCAGATCTCGGATAAAGTACTTGACATCTTCCAACTTAAAGAGTTCATAAAGGCTGGCTTTGTAAGTAGTCCACCGCCTGTCTTTTGGTCGTGCTTCTTTGATTACTTGACTCAAGCTCGGGTCCGAGTTGAACAATAAATTGTTTATGATCTCGTTCTCCGACCATTGGCTGTGGTATGCGTGCAACTCCCACTTCTCGAGATACTCGGTGATGCCGTATCCCTTGAAAATGGGTGGTCTGGTGTCTAACTCTGAGGGCTGATGCGAAATGATGTATCTATCCCTCCTCTCGTAAGGAAGCATATACGACTCGCCCGTCTGTGGGTCGTAGATCCGTGTAGGTGGTGTGCTCCTCTCCGGAGGTCTATCTCTATCTCTCCAGGCTTGTTCCCGGGCATACTGGTCTTTCCAGGCATCCCTCCCTCTATCACTTCTGACGTCTCTCCGCTCGTACATTGGAGAGCGTCGAGCGGGCATCTCCTGCCGGATACTAGGAGGTTCGGTTCTACTCTCCATCCGTATCGCCGACGCTGTCCTATCAGGCTCAACGACGGGGCAGCCCATCACCTCGGGTTCCCCATCGTCGGGTTGATCTACGCATCGCAGTGGTGCATTCTGTCGGATGTGCTCCTTGAGGTCTCGCAGCACACGGTCCGGTGACGCTCGGTATAACCTACTTTGCTGTTCTATATTCGGATGCGGACCCATTGTATCAGACTCTATATACTCTACTCCCTCTCTAAGCTTGCGTTTATACAGGAAGTCTATCGTCCCTGTAACTCGAACGCACAGCCCGGACCTAATGTCAGAACTCGAAGCCCGGACCTAATGTCAGAACCGGATCTTCCACTCTAAGTGTTTAAATCTAGTTCTCGATTGCCCTCAAAATAACCCTCAGTCTTCTTCTCTCGTCTCGGATCTCGCGCTCGCCCTCAATACCTAGAATTCCCGTGTCAAGGAAAAGTCGCCCCTCTTGTCCCTCTATGCAGGCAGCACCTCTCCTTACCTCTAGCACTCCTGTCTCGAGGCACCTCACTATGCGAGAAAGAGTAGAAATCATGACTGAGGAAGTCTTTAGCAAGAAGGAGTGGATCAAGATGGGTCTACCCCTGAAGAAGAGGAGGCAAGAGGACGAGGCCCTGAAAGTTATGGTGGCAGAAAAAAAGTCGGAAGTCGAACTGGGAGCCAGCCTGCCCAAACCAAAGGAAGGCCGGAATGAAATGTCGGAGGACTCGATAAGGCCATCAGGTATCACAAAGTGGGGGTGGACCCCGCAGCGCTTGCTAGATACGAGGATGGGGTCCGAAAGGGCTACTGTCTGAATGGGAAGCTAGTCAGCATCTAGCCCCGTGTCTTGGAGGTAGCAAGGACGATCCCAACCATTCATTTTTTAGGAGAACGATCCCAGAAGGAAGTGTGCGAAAGTACAAACCCGTAGGCAAGAAGGCCAAGTCGGTCTCGATCCTGGTAAAAACATCAAAGGAAGAGGCCATGAAAAAGGAAGAGGAAATCCTACAGGTTATAAGGGAGAGGCGAGCAACGGAAGGGCATCGGATACCTGAGGAGGTAGCAGATACCATGAAAATAGGAGTGGAAGGGTTTCTAACAGCAGAGGAAACTCAGTTGATAAGTAAGGCATGTTAGGAGTTTCATTTAGCTTTCGTTTTCAATGACCACCAGAAAGGGCGGTTGGACGCAAAGCTAGTTCCTCCGGTTAGGATCCACACGGTGAAACATGAATGCTGGAATGATAAAGGGCCTGCCTAAGAGCTTGGGATAGCAGCGGAAGTCACTGACCTGCTTAGGGCCAAGATAGATTCGTTCGTGGCCGAGCCCACTGCATCCCTTTATGCGAACAAGTGGTTCGTTTTCCGGAAGCCCAATAAGACGCTCAGGTGGATCCAGGACTTGCAGAAGCTCAATGCGGTAACAATTAGGGATGCAGGCTCGCTTCCACAGGCCGACTTGTTGGCAGAATCTCATGCGGGGCGGAGCATTTACTCCCTGGTAGACTTGTACTCAGGATATGATCAGTTGCCGCTCGATGCGAGGGATAGACCGTACACCGCAATGCACACCCCCGTAGGATAGTTGCAAATGCAAGTGACCCCTATGGGTTTCACAAACGCAGTAGCAGAGGCACAGAGGATGATGCTCGCCGTCACAGGGGAAATGTTTCCAGAAAAGTGCGAACTGTATATATATGATAATCCCGTAAAAGGCGCAAGGTACAAGGATGAGACGGAGGTCGAGCCGGGTGTGCGAAAATTTGTCTTGGATCACCTGCAGTATATCAAGGATCTCCTACAACGGTTCTTGCTTTATAATATTACCGCGAGTGGGCCAAAGAGCATCCTGGCTGTCCCGGAGGTAACTATACTGGGATTTCGCTGTGGGGCTTATGGGAGGAGACCCGACCCAGCAAAGACAGATAAGATCTCTCAGTGGTCGACACCCGTGCGTACCACGACGGAAGTACGAGCCTTCCTAGGGGTGGTTGGATTCTGGAGGATCTTCATCAAAGGTTTCGCAAAGATAGCAGAACCTATCCGCGCGATGATTAGGGAAGGTGGCACTATGGGTTGGACCGAGGATAGGGAAGAGGCAACCCAAACCCTGAAAGACATCCTGTCGTCCGATCAGGTTATCTTAGCAGCACCCTGCTTCAATGACGAAGTAGGATGGCCCTTCATCCTAGAGATAGATGGCGGCCCAAAAGCAGTAGGTGGCGTATTGATACAGAAAAGCGAGGAGGGCAAGGAAAGACTGATCAGATTCGAGAGTAGGACCTTGAATTCAGCAGAACGGCGGTACTCACAGTTCAAGAAGAAGGTCTTAGCCATCCTATATTGCCTGAAGACCTTCCAGGCATATTTGTTCGGAAGACGATTCGCCTTAAGGATCGATCCCACCAATGTTGCCGGGGCACTGAAGAATTACAAGCCTATAGATCCGACCGTCAGCAGATGGATAGGCTTCATATGGCAATTCGACTATAAGGTCGAGCGAATTGTGAGGCTTCGAAACAGGGCAGATGGGTTGAGCAGAGTACGTATCACGCCAGAGGGAGTAGAGGACGTGGAACCAATTGACGCCTTCCTAGAATACGAAGGGGGGACCCTTGTTGTGGATAACGAAATGGCAGACTCAGCGCTTACAACAGGCCAGTTGTTGATTCAAACCTTGGAAAAGGGCACGCCTGAAGTAGTCGCAGAACTCAGGGAAGGATCAGTCACCACGGTCAGGCGCAGAGAGGAAAAAGACTCGTGGGGAGTAGAAGTAGGGGCCAGAGAGGAACTGATGGCAATGGCTGTGGAAGGGGGATGGGACGTCGTGATCACGTTGGCCGAAACCTGGGCGCAGAAGGAATGTCAATACCTAGCCAACCAGACTTGGAAAGAGCAGGATACGGATCGGAAGGAACAAGAGTTCTTCCTCATACAGATGTATGAGGGCGTCTTTAGAGAAATCGGTCTGCTGCTTGTAGGGAACAAACAGCCCACCGAAGTCAGCTCCAAGGCAAAGGAGGAAGTTGAGAAGTACGTCGTAAGAAATGCTCACCTGTTTAAGAAAGAGGAAGGGATGATGCCTAGGCGTGTCGTTTGTGGGAGGTCTAGGCAGCTGGACATAATTCAAGCAATACATGATGGGCTAGCTGGAGGTCACTGGTCGTCAAAGGGGACACTTGCAAAGATCGTGCCCCTTGTATTTCTGGCCAGGAATGGCAGGCATAGTCGCAACGTACTGTCACACGTGTCTGATATGTTAAGAGAGGAGCTCTGTACGGGTTTACGAGCCCCTTAGACCCACTCGGGTACCAGGACCAGGGCACCTTGTTCAACTCGATCTCGCAGTCATGCCCGTATCGACGGATGGGTTTAGATACATTCTGGATGCAAGGGATAATCTCGGTGGCTATGTAGAGGCCGTAGCCCTCAAAAAGAGGACGGGGAAAGCAGTGGCCGATTGGGTGGAAGATTTCTACCTAAGACACTCCTTCGTGCGCAGGTTTATAGCAGACAATGGGACATAATTTGTTAACCAGGAGGTGTTGAACAGGCTTAAGACACTGTGCGTACCAATCAAGATCACTAAGCCCTACCACCCTGAGGCAAATGCACCAGTAGAAAGGGGGCACCAGACCTTGAAAAACACAATCGCTAAGCTTGCAGCAGACAACTTGGGGAACTGGCCACGGTACCTTAAGCAGGCAGTCTTCTCTGAGAACATGACACCAAAGAGAACGACGGGATGCATTCTAGTGGAGCTATGGTATGGAAGGGAGATTGACTTCCCAGTGGAGGCCCTCGTCCCTACCTGGAACAGGTTAGACGATGACCTGCACTTGACCACAGCAGAGTTATTCGTCGCACGCTGCCAGCAGATTGTCAGGAATGAGGAGGCATTGGAGGAAGTAGTTAACCGTGTAACGGATAGCCGAATGAAGGACAAAGCAAGGTGGGATCAGGTCAAGAACCGGAAGGAGCCACTCCAGGTGAGGGAGAAAGTGCTAGTTAGAAACTCGGCCCTCGAAAGCACATGGTCTGGGCAGCTGGGAAAGAGATTCAAAGGGCCTTACAGGATCGCTAAGCGGGT